CTTTCAGAAACATTATCAAAATTCCTGTACCTGATAAGTTGGCCTCCAACAACTTGAGGACTTGTGATTCTGTTGCTTTAATATAGATAATGATTGTTAACTTGAACTGTTTAGAGATTCTCTGTTTGTAGATGTACAAACTGTTTGCTTGGCTTTTACAGTTTGTTTAAAAATATTCAGTACCTGATAAGTTGGCTTCTAGGAGCTTGATGACATGTGATCTTGCATTTACATATTTCACCACCATTTGCTAAGACACTGTCCATTGTTGAGAAACTTCTGGCTAACATGGGAGCTATTTCATAGCCATTTGGGTAAGATATGAGAATTGTTAAATAAGGAGCCTTTGGGCCCATTTTAATGTAATATTTGCTGTTAATCACAAATGTTTGTTTACTACTTATAGAAATTGAGATTCCTACTTTTGGATTGTTTGAAAAATACCACCACAACACAGTATGTATGAATTCACTATTTATTATTATTGTATTGACCTAGGTTGGGGTTCCTGTTTCCTATTATGAATATGTTTGTTTCAAATAGGAATTTTGATAAAGAACTCGAAACAAACTCTGGAAACTCGAGAGGTTCGTCATTTGACCTATGGAATAAAAGAAGAAATTTGAAATAATACATCAGAATAAGCCTACATTTTATTGTCATTGTTCTGTAATTTTTGAACTTATTGCAGCAATTGCATGATTTGTTTTCCTTTTCTATTCCTGACTAACCTTTTTAGGTTCTGAATTCTAGGTTTAGGTTCAGTTTTTTCCCCTTTTTTCTTCTTTGGCCTTTGACGAGAGACATAAGCCAGTGCTCCCTCTAAGCTGAGTGAGTGTGAGCTAGCTCACCATTTCTTAGCCTCCGGCTCACACATTTTTGTCTTCGCTCAGGAGGGAAGGCTCCAGAGCAAACTAACTGATGCAGTAGCCAGATCGCTCGCTCACCACTTTAATGCCAGCGGCTCGCAGAGTAGAATTTTTGCTCACAGGACCCCACAGCTTAGAGGGAGCAGTGGACAGAACCACTTTGTCCAATGCACACAAGCCCTGTCTTCCTAGCTGAGTCTTCCAAACAACTGCAGGCAATCAAATGCTTAGTCCGGGGGGTCCCCAACATGGTGGCTGTGGGCACCACGGTATCCCCCGACAACTTTCTGGGTGCCCGCCAAGTGTTTGTAGGAGATGGGGGGGGGCTTTTGCCCAGCAAGGCTTCTGATTGGCTGTGCAGATGCTTAAAAACTTTGCTTTGGCACCAGCTGCCGCCACAGCACAAGGATCTTCACTGGCTGGGTCAAACTAAGCTGCGGCAGCCGTTTGGTGGCTGACTGCGCCTGCTGCACTGTGCCAGAATCCCGCAGGTGCCCGCAGGCCCAGAAAGGTTGGGGACCCTCGGCTTAATCCAACTTCAGAACTGTTACCACCTGTGATGAAGGTACTGATTATAGTTCCAATACTTGATTTTGTATTCCAGTGGTAATTAAATTATTAGTGAGAATAAAATTTAGATTTAGATAAGCAATTAAGACAATATTAAGGATTTTATAGTGATTCAGTTTTAGCACAGAAGCCCGTTCAATTGTTAAAGATGCAATTTCTTGTATCGTTAATAGATTATCGCTAACCTTAGGAAAGTTCTTGTTTATTCTTTAAATAGAGAATCTGTCCCCAAATCCTGTAATACTGATGTTTTAATGTCTACTTCTGTATTTGAAATATGTAATATATTTGGTAATATATCTGATCTTACTAGGTGTCAGCGTTCTCTCCAAGCTGAGTTAGTGTGAGCTAGCTCACAGTTTTTTAGCCTCTGGCTCACACATTTTTGTCTTAGCTCAGGAGGGAAGGCTCCAGAGCAAACTAATTTTCTACAAGCATGGGCAGCTTAAAAACGGAATTAGATAAGCATATGGAGCAGAGGTCCATCAGTGGCTATTAGCCACATGGTATAGATAGGGGCTCTGGGGCAAGTGATGCTCTGTCTTCTTGGTGCTTGGGGGGGGTCAGCAGTGGGAGGGCTCCTAATGTCCTGGCCCCACTGGTGGACCTCCTGATGGCACCTGGTATTTCTGGCCACTGTGTGACACAGAGTGTTGGACTGGATGGGCCTTTGGCCTGATCCAACATTGGCGTCTCTTATATTCTTAATTTATGCAGTGGCCAAATCGTTCGCTCACAACTTTGATGCCCGTAGCTCACAGAGTAGAATTTTTGCTCACAGGACTCCACAGCTTGGAGGGAGCGTTGCTATGTAACAACTCATATCATTTGACAAACCTGATGGGACTTGTATTTTCCCCCACCCCCTTTTTCCCATTCTGTATCCCACCTTTTCCAGAGAAAATAATAAAACAAATGTTTTAAAAAATTGTTTAAGACCTAATCCTGTGGACTTCTGTATGAGGAAAATATCACACGTGGTTGAGTGCCGTCGCTGTCAGATCAGTACAAGTTAACACGATATTGACGATGCATGTTTTTTTTGTTACCTTCTCTTTCGGCTTGCTCAGCACAGGGATCTGTGAGGGCTGGGGAAGAAAGGAAGGCATTTCCGGCTTGTATCGCCCACACTTAAACACGGGCTTCTCTCTTTGTTCCTTCAGTTTCCGGAGCTCTTTTTCAGCTTTGTAACGCTGGAGCATTTCCAGCCGCTCCTTACTACAGATCTTGGCATTCGTTATTTGATCTGGAGGGGGGTAAAAAGGGATAATTAGAACCCGTCTTGCCCAAGATTCCCTATCCCTATCCATACAAGCGAGAAACAATGATAGCACTCGTTCATGTGCAGAGGTCTTCGAGAACCATTTCTTAAAGAAATAAAACGGTTATCCCAAGAGGCGTGCATAGATGCGCTTTAGGATCTGCCAACCGACATCTTCTGGTGGTTCCCGGCCCCAGGAAGTCCCTGGCCCCTACCTGGTGGGATGAGCTCCTATATGAGATCAGGGCCCCGCGGGACCTTTTACACTTCCGCAGGGCCTGCGAGACGGAGCTCTTCCGCAGGGCCTGTGAGACGGAGCTCTTCCACCAGGCTTTTACTTAGGGCACCGGGCGTCCCCCCTCTTTACTGGGCCTCCCAGCGGGTCGGGTCTCCATTATCATCTAAGGACCCAACTTTGAAATAGATCGCATCTGTGAGGCTTTAACGATGATTTGTTCCAGAGGAATGTTGTTGTGTTTTATGGGGGTTTTAACTGTTTTTAAGTCTGTGTATATTGCATATTAGGAGCTGCGGTGGCTCAAGTGGTTATGACGCTGAACTGCAGGCTGTGGAAGGTCAGTAGTCCAGCAGTTCGAGACCCGGGTGCCGCATGACAGAGTGAGCTCCCGTCTCTAGTTCCAGCTCCTGCCAACCTTGCAGTTCGAAAGCAAGAAATTGCAAGTAGATAAATAGGGACCACTTTGGTGGGAAGGTAACAGCGTTCCGTGCGCCTTCGTGTTTAGTCATGCCGGCCACATGACCACGGAAACGTCTTCGGACAGCGCTGGCTCTTCGGCTTTGAAATGGAGATGAGCACCGCAACCCTAGAGTCGGATTCGACTGGCTTTCGAGCAAGGGAACCTTTACCTTTACCTTTATATTGCATATTAGGGGCCACGGTGGCTCGGAGGTTAAGATGCTGAGCTGCAGACCGGAAGGTCTGTAGCTCGGCAGTTCGAGACCCAAGTGCCGTGTGACGGAGTGAGCTCCCGTCTCTGGCTCCAGCTCCTGCCAACCTAGTGTAAGGTAGCCCTGTCATAGGTCTGGAATGTGGAGGGGTGCCCTCCCGTTTTCTGTCTCAGCTCTCCCTGGCTCACCAACTGTTTGCTATCTTATGCCTGACCTTGTAGATGCTCCAGCTGCAGTTTTACTCGGCTGGGAAAGTTAACGGCTTTTTGCTTTGCCTGCTTGCTTTGCCCCTGCGCGCGAGATGTATCCCTTGGCTCATGCTTACAGGGGGGATGTTTGATTCTAGTATAAGTCAGGGGCCCTAGTATTGGTGGCCATTTCTGACACTAGCTGTACATGTGTCTCTAGTACTGGATTTACCAATAAACAGTTATCTTCTCATGAAGCCCTGTGTTGAGTAACCTGGCTAAGGACCCTGACACCTAGCACTTCGAAAGCAAGAAACTGAAAGTAGATAAATAGGTACTGCTTTGGTGGGAAGGGAACAGCGTTCCTTGCACCTCAGCGTTTAGTCATGCCTGCCACGTGACCACGGAAAACGTCTTCGGACAGCGCTGGCTCTTCGGCTTGGAAACGGAGATGAGCACCGCATCCCTAGAGTCGGATTCGGCTGGCTTTCAAGCAAGGGAAACCATTACCTTTACTATAGTGCACATTGCTTATTATGTTTGATGGAACCTGCCCTGAGCCTGCTATCCGGGGAGGGCGGGATATAAATAAATAAATGTGCGCTTACGCAGATGCCTTCCTTCCCCTGACCCCGCATGATTAGGGAGCGACATAGAGCACGAGAACCAATGCTTTGTTAAGAGGTACAAGACATTACTTACTTGGCTTTCCCTTGCTCTTCTCCGGCGAGTGCGCTTCGCCCGTCTCCTCCAGGCGAGAAAGCTCCCTGTCCCTCGTGTGCTGTGTGTTGACGTCAGCCAGTCCAAACTGCCTGGTCTTGTTGAACTGCTTTTGCCTGCTCTCCTTTTGCAGGACGGATTTCCTGCGGACCAGTTTCGTCTTCAGGGCCTCCGTGCTCAGGTCCTTTTTGTACCGAGTGGCAAAATTGGAGGTCATCTTGCTTATTCTAGATAATTTAAAAAAATTAAAAACGGGAAACTTTTATGCTAGAGTTTTACCCTCCTTCCACTATGACTATTTACAAATCTGGGCAGATTGCGAGAGGGAGGGCAGGAAGGGATGTGCCTATGCTCGGCCCTTGTGGCCCTTTCTTTTGGTGTCGTGGTTAAGTGCGCGGACTCTAATCTGGGAGAACCGGGTTTGATTCCCCACTCCTCCACTTGCACCTGGCTGGATGACCTTGGGCAAGCTCTAGTTCTGATAGGAGCTGTCCTTGAAAAAGAGCCGTTTCTGTCAAGAGCTCTCAGCCCCACCAACCTCACAGGGTGTCTGTTGTGGGGAGGGGAAGGGAGTTTGTCAGCCGCTCTGAGACTCCCTTGGGTAGTGAAGGCCGGGGTATAAATCCAATCTCTTCTTCTTCTTCTGCCTCACAGGGTGTCTGTTGTGGGGAGGGGAAGGGACAGGAGTTTGTCAGCCGCTCTGAGACTCCTTTGGGTAGTGAAGGGCGGGGTAGAAATCCAATCTCTTCTTCTCCTTCTTCAGGGAGAACCGGGTTTGATTCCCCACGCCTCCACGTGCAGCTGCTGCTGTGCCCTTGGGCCAGTCACAAGTTCTCTCAGAGCTGTTCTCTCAAGGGCAGTCCTCGAAAGAGCTCTCTCAGCCCCACCTACCTCACATTGACACACATTGGCCTGATTCAACATTGGCTTCTCTCATGCTCTTATGTTCTTATTGCTCACAGGGTGTCTGTTGTGGGGAGGGGAAGGGAAAGGAGTCTGTAAGCCGCTCTGAGACTCCTTTGGGTAGTGAAGGGCGGGGTATAAATCCAATCTCTTCTTCTTCTTCTTATACGCCCAGGGTAATGCCGATCACCACTCTGTGGTCAAAAGGTAATTTTTCTCCAGGCTGGATTGTCCCAGGGAGCCTGGAGGTTTTTTGCCTTCCTCCAGGGGTAGAGCATGAGACACTGGGGGAGTTGGGGGGGGGGAGGTAGCTGTGAATTTCCTGCATTTTGCAGGCAGTCGGGGGGTCCCTTCCAGCTCTATGTTTCCATATTTCTAAGAACATAAGACAGAAGCCAGTGTTGGATCAGGCCAGTGGCCCATCCAGTCCAACACTCTGTCACACAGTGGCCAAAAATACCAGGTGCCATCAGGAAGTCCAGCAGTGGGGCCAGGACACTAGGAGCCCTCCCACTGTTGCCCCCCCTCCCCAAGCACCAAGAAGACAGAGTATCCCTTGCCCCAGACCTCCTATCTATACCTTGTGGCTAATAGCCACTGATGGACCCCTGCTCCATTTGTTTATCCAATTCATAAGAACATAAGAGAACATAAGAGATGCCAATGTTGGATCAGGCCAAAGGCCCATCCAGTCCAACACTCTGTGTCACACAGTGGCCAGAAATACCATGTGCAATTAGGAGTTCCAGCAGTGGGGCCAGGACACTAGAAGCCCCCTCCCACTGTTGCCCCCCCCCCACTGATGGACCTCCACTCCAGATGCCACCAAATTTCTGCCATGGCCCAGAGGAGTAACTTCCCCATGTCAGGCAAAGAGGCTAAAGAGTTGGAAGAGCCTCTGGAACCACCCCAGAGGAAAGCAGATGAAATGCCTATAGGAGCCCCTTTCCATGTCCAGGAGGACTACTGAGAGATAGGGGCTCTCCTGTATGGACCTGTCTACAAATCAGTTGCAGTGGATCCGGGAGCTTCCACCTTGCCACAAGACTCTTTATTGCGACGTCTTTAAAAAAACTGCTTGAACAGCAACTGCAACTTTTCGCTTTGGCAAAGCTGCAAATTATAGAAGTATCAGCATTTAAAGATCCCAGAATGAGCTAATTGTAAAAGAGATAGTTCCCACAAACAAACACAAAGAGTTTCTTCCCACCAGGGGTCATGCAACAAGCCCCGCCCCCTGCTCCCAGCAGCCCTCAGTCAAAGCAAGAAGCAGCCAGGTAAGTTGCAGAGCTTCCCCCGGCCCCCCGGTCCAAAACAGTCCAGTGGCACCTTTAAAACCAAGTTTTATTCAGGTATAAGCTCTCCCTCCTCTACAAGGACAGATCTGCACGTCCCCCCCCCCAATAGCTAGCAATCCAAAACAGTCCAGTGGCACCTTTAAGACCAGGTTTTATTCAGGCACAAGCTCTCCCTCCTCTGCAAGGACAGATCTGCACGTTCCCCCCCCCCCAATAGCTAGCAATCCAAAACAGTCCAGTGGAGCCTGAGCGGTGGGTGTTGCCTTCTGACACACTTCCGGTGATGTCAGTGGGTGTGGCATATGCAAATAAGTTATGCTAATGAGTTATGCTAATGAGCTCCTGCCCCTCTTTTTCTACGAAATGAGCCCTGCTTCCCACAATTAGAAAAGATGCCTTTTCACATTTATCCCTTATTTTGACATATTTATTATTTTGCTGTCCTTTCTCCCCCCCCTTAAATAAAGCAAAACAACTGTTGACCTTATAACCCCAGCTTGTTGTTTAGTTTTGATCTGGCATCCCTTAAAGCATCGATGTTGGTTTGCCGTCCAGCCCGTCTATAAGTTTTAACCTTACCTACCCTTCCAGTGTATTTGAAAAAGTGTACTTTGCACACGAAAGCTCATACCTCAAATAAACCTTTGTTGGTCTTAAAGGTGCCGCTGGACTCTTTGTTGTAAAAGAGAGATAGTCATTTGAAGAGAAGACAAGCGTTTGAAAATAACGAGTCTGTTAAAAGCTAATCGTTATTTTATTTGCACACGACTGTAAATCATCCCTAATATGTGCGCGTAGGCACTCAACCACCAACGGTTTCTAAAACACCTCCACAACAAAACTTCCAAACTGAATTCGAGGTTAACTAAGGACTTAAATCCTTAGACCCGAGTCCGAGACTTCACTGTTCATTCCGCATCACCAGGCAAAATAAAATGGTGCTATGGTGCTAGGTGCTATGATTTTCGGACAGGCGGCTGGGATTTTTGTGTAAACAGTTCAACATGCAATGGTACTTGTGGGTTAGTAAACAGCATGCAGTTCTTTGCAAGCCTACTGTATAACACCAATATCAATATTCCAAGGGAATTAAACAAAGAAAGAAGAGGTATGCTTACCTGAAAATGTAAAGCAACAAAATCCAAAGACGACTCTTATGCTTGTTCTTTAAAAGGGTGACTATAGAAGAGGGGGGGGAGAAAGAGATACAGATATTGCTAGAGCAGAAAGTCCATCGCAGTTTGGATTTTCTAAGTTCTCATATTAGAGCAAATAGAGTTTGTTCCTCCACTTACTTGGGATTGTCCTACTACAGAAGTCTTCCACTCTACATTAAGCATTTGACTGTGCCCCGATATGAGAGCGCTTTTATGCTTGCTGGGTTGAATTTTATACCCGGGTTGAATTCTGTACCATCTATACCATCCCAAGTAATAAATGGTTGTTATTGCACCCAATGAAGCTGATGGGCAGGAGGCTCAGGACAGACAAAAGGAAATACTTCTTTATACGGAGAGTGATCAAAATGTGAAATTTGCCACCAGAGGATGAAGTGATGGCCACAGGAATAAACAACTTGAAAAAGAGAATGAGATTCATGGGGGATAGGTCTATCAATGGCAACTAGCTATGGCGGCTAGGGGAACCGCCACATTTAAAGGTACTAAGCCTCTGAATCCCAGAGCCAGGAGGCAACATCAGGAGAAGGCCGTGGCCTTAGCGTCCTGTTGTTGGCCCTCCAGAGGAACTAGTTGGCTGCTGTGTAAGACGGGATGCTGGACTAGATGGACCACTGGTCTGATCCAGCAGGGCTCTTCCAGAGGTGATGGAGAGGCTACTTGGTAACGCTATGCTTATGTGCTTCTGGGAAAACTTATACTATGGAACACTGTTTATTTGAATGCCTCTTTTTCTCTGCTGTAATAGATCTGTGGATTACGCCACCCCTAGGTGAGGTGGTAGGGGCGTCAGCAGGAGAAAAGATAGGGAGACTTTCTGTTGTGGTGGATTCGGAGGTTACTTTGGCTGTTTCATTCCCCCCCCCCCCCATACTTTAGCCTGGTTTACAAGGATTCTAATTCTAACAACCTATAGTTTTGAGCTGGTATCTAGCCTGCGCACGTCATCTCCCAACTGACACAAAGTCTGAAAGCATGTTTGTTCCACCATGCCGGTCAGGAATTTGTGCCTTGTAAAAAAAAATTTATTTATTTATTTATTTATTTTTATTTATCTTTAGATTTGTATCCTGCCCTACCCCGAAGGCTCAGGGCGGCTAACAAGGGCACAAATTGCCAAGATTAAAACAATAAAAGCACATAATATAAAACAGTAAAATACAGTAACAAAATCACAGTGCTCCATTTGTCACAAGATGGGGTAGATCTTAAACCCAACGGTAACTTTCCCAAAATCTATCATCCTTTTCCTGCCAGGGACACCTCGGACCCCCAAAGGGGCCAGATAGTCGTGGTGATGGTGCGACGGTGCATAGATGGCAATGATGGAGTAGTAGTCGCGGAGGCTCCTACTCAAAAGCCTGGCGGAAGAGCTCCGTCTTGCAGGCCCTGCGGAACTGAGAAAGATCCCGCAGGGCCCGGATCTCCTCCGGCAGCTCCTTCCACCAGGTAGGAGCCGCCACCGAAAATGCCCCGGCTCTGGTCACCGCAAATTTAATATCCTCAGGGCCTGGAATTTCCAGGAGATGACGACCCCCCCCCCTGACCATAGTGCCCTTGGGGGAACATATGGAGAAAGGCGGTCCCTCAGCACAAGATCACAGATTAGTACATGCAACTGCACTTGTTTGCATCTGTTGCATTTTATCTTTGCCTTTTCAACGCCTCCCTCCGTTCCTTTTCAAACTGTCAGGCCATAAACTGTATAAATACATAATGGACACTTTGACAATACAATTCGATAACCTTTGAGCCAGAACATTAAAACGCCTTCTGTTATGCACACCCGTGAAACTGCCTTCTACTGATTCAGACCTTTGGCATACCAAGGTTAGTACTGTATACTCTGAAGAGCCAGTGTCGCACCAAGAGCTGGTGTAGTAAATACAAGTGTCGGACTAGTATCTGGGAGACCCAGGGCTGAACCCCCACTCACACCCTGTAAGCGGGCTGGGGGGCCTTGAGACAGCCGCGCTCTTTCATCCTAACCTACCTCACAGGGTTGTTGTGAGGATGAAATGGAGGACAGGAGAATGATGTAAGCCGCTTTAGGTCCACACTGGACAGAAAGGCCACCTGGTTCTCCCCCCCCTCCAAGGTGGAGATGCCAGGGATTGAAATACTGTCTATCCCCCCCCCCCCGATCTAACAGAGTTATTATGGCATAAGCCAGGGGTCTGAGTCTGTGGGCACCTTTGGAATTCTGAGTCTGTGGGCACCTTTGGAATTCTGACACAACACGGGGACTGTCCTCTCTAAGCTGTGGAGTCTTGTGAGCAAAAATTCAACTTTGTGAGCTACTGGCATTAAAGCTGTGACCGAGTGATTTGGCAACTGCATAAATCAGTTTGCTCTGGAGCCCCTCCTTCCTGAGCTGAGACAAAAATGTGTGAACCGGAGGCTAAAAAACTGTGAGCCGGCTCACACGAACTCAGCTTAGAGGGAACACTGCATGGGGAGTGCAGCCACAAAATGGCTGCTGCAGGGGGCTGCAGGGGGCGGAGCCAGTAAAAAAAACCTGCTGCCACAGTGGAGATTTTTCAAATCTCCAGTGGCCAATCAGAACCCTTGCTGGAAAAAGGTCCGCCTGGCCCCACCCACTTTCTAAAAACACTTAGTGTCAGCAGGCGCTGAGGTGCCCACGGGCACCGTGTTGGGGAACCCTGGAATACACATTCACAGGTGAGGGGCTACCCCATCAGACGCTCTGGCCCACAAAATCTTGGTTAACGACAGAGCTGGGAGAGCTTTCACGTTGCCACAAGACTCTTTACTGCAGCATCGGCTGGAATGTGTTGGCGTGTCAGTCTTAAATCCCAGGAGGTTAACCGAGTTAGCCTGTTGTCGCAAAGAAGATGACAAAGCCTCTTGTGGCCTCTAACAAACCTGTCGGTCGTTTACGAGAGTCGTGTTGGGGCACTTTAACGGCTCAGGAGGGACACAATAAAGATGCCACGATAAATTTTGTTAGCCTTTAAAGTTCTGCAGGACTTTTTGTCAATATATAATTACATTCCACAGAGGAAGCCAGACTATTAGCCTGCTTGGGGGGGGGCGTTAAGGAGAGTATAAACAGCTTAGGGTTGGGTAGGGGATAGCGTTGCCAGATCCAGGTTAGGAAACTCCTAGAGATTCGGGGATGAAACGACGGCTGAGGGGTGACATGATTGAGGTTTATAAGATTATGCATGGGGTACAGCAGGTCGAGAAAGAGGTACTTTCCTCCCTTCCTCACAATACAAGACCTCGTGGGCACTCCATGAAATTGCTGAGCGGTCGGGTTAGAACGGATAAAAGGAAGTCCTTCTTCACCCAAAGAGTGATTCACACATGGAATTCACTGCCACAGGAGGTGGCGGTGGCTACAAGCATGGACGGCTTCAAAAGGGAATTAGATAAGCATATGGAGCAGACTGTTCCCTGGAAGGCCAGATAATGAAACTGAAGCTCAAATACTTTGGCCACCCAATGAGAAGGGAGCACTCACTGGAGAAGACCCTGATGCTGGGAAAGAATGAAGGTCAAAGAAGATGGGGACAGCAAAGAATGAGATGGTTAGACAGTGTCACAGATGCAACGAACATGAAGTTGAGCAAACTTCAGAGGATGGCAGAAGACAGGAAGGCCTGGCAGGATCTGGTCCATGGGGTCGCGAAGAGTCGGACTCGACTGTGCGACTGAACAACAAATGGAGCAGAGGTCCATCAGTGGCTCTTAGCCACAAGGTATTGATAGGGGCTCTGGGACAACGGATGCTCTGTCTTCTTGGTGCTTGGGGGGGGGGGTCAACAGTGGGAGGGCTTCTAATGTCCTGGCCCCACTGGTGGACCTCCTGATGGCACCTGGTATTTTTGACCACTGTGTGACAGAGTGTTGGACTGGATGGGCCACTGGCCTGATCCAACATTTGGCTTCTCTTATGTTCCTATGAATTGGATCAACATATGGAGCAGAAGTCCACCAGCGGCTATTAACCACAAGGTATAGATAAGAGCTCTCGGTCTGGGGCAAGGGATGCTCTGTCTTCTTGGTGCTTGGGGGGGGGGGTCAAGAGTGGGAGAGCTTCTAGTGTCCTGGCCTCCTGAGGGCACCTGGTATTTTTGGCCACTGTGTGACAGAGTGTTGGACTGGATGGGCCTTTGGCCTTATCCAGCATTGGCGTCTCTTATGTTCTTACGATGGAGCCCGGGGCGGACAGGGACCTCAGTGGGCTACAATGTGATAAAGGATGTTGAGCGTAAGGCCCGGGGGCCAGAACCAGACCATCCAGGGCTCTTAGGTGGCTTGCAGACTGCTCGGGGAGGGGAGTGGGTGGAAACACTCTGATTGTGGCCTCACCATGGTGGGACAACCTCGTCTGCAGCAGACAAGCTAGCAGCGTGGGAGTGTCCACCCCGTGCCGAACAGCTGCCTCTTCAGTCCTCCCATGTGGGGTTTCCTTCGCACCCCCTCCCAGCCCACGGGGTCTTGCCGTGAGGATACACAGATTTGGAGCTTATGAGCTGCTGTCCTTGATACACAGGTTATATCTCTGGCATGACGTTTTAGGACACACATGGCCCAGCAAAGCGACATCAACGTCAGATCCGGCCCTCGTGACAAATGAGTTTGACACCCCTGCTGGGGTCCGCCCTCCAGGGCACCCATTCTCTCCCAGGGGGACGGATCTCTGTAGTCTGGAGCAACGCTCCCTCTAAGCTGTGGAGTCTCATGAGCAAAAATGCTACTTGGTGAGCTACCGGCATTAAAGCTGTGAGCGAGCGATTGGGCTGCTGCAGAAATCAGTTTGCTCTGGAGCCCTCCTTCTTCCTGAGCTAAGACAAAAATGGGTGAGCCGGAGGCTAAAAAACTGTGAGCTAGCTCGCACTAACTCAGCTTAGAGGGAACACTGGTCTGGAGATGAGCTTTAATTCTGGGGGATCCCCAGGTCCAGCTTGGAGGCTGGCGTCCCTATCAGCTCTGTGTGTGTAGTTTGTGTGTGTGTGTGTAGCCGTGTTGGTC